TAAAGGACGACGATGAAAGGAACAAGGAAGATGACAGTATACGAAAGAATAAGATACTGCCACCATTGCAAGCATGGGACATTAGCATCGATGAATAACCACTTTCCAGATCCAATTGAGACGCAGTGCATTAGCTGAAGGGCTGTTTCTGCAAGTCTTTCGTAACCAAGCAACAACATTTCCATGACAACGGCTATATAACGGATAAAGGACGGCTTTCCTTTTCCCATATACATATTGAAGACATGATGCACAACATAGATGAGAACAAGGTTAGCCATTGTCAAAAAATACTGTACCAGAAAGAAAGAGCTCTTTTGCTACAGCGGGGAGTCCTGCGAATCGAAAGTCCTTGATTGATGGATTGAACGTGGAAGTTGCAGGCAGAGAAGAAAGTGTGAATATAACGAATTTTTCCAATAAGTTCTTCTAGAGAACCTACTATCAAAGTCTCAGCTGATTGGTAAAAATAGAACGTAATTTTCAAGAATTCTAGGAATGTTCACTACCACCGTTGAAGTCCGATCCTTCTCACTGCTGATCTTCATCTGATTTCTTGAACCATAAGATTTGTTTTCCCAGGGTGCACAGGATTGGGGGCTTGGTCAGAAGATAGATAGCCAATGTGATTGTTAGAAATATGGTCACAACCCACACAGAATAGTCGTTGCACTTGATAGACATGCGGCATTCAGTTGATAAAAGAGACACCGTCCACGGAGAGTGCCGTTTCTGTTTCCTTGGCAGCTGCTGTAGTCTATTGACGAAGTGAATGAACAATAATTTTCAGGACAAGCAATTAATTTCAGCATCGATGGATTGCCAGGTGCTACATAACCCCAGAAGTTTGGTTCCGCGGCAATGTTACTTACAAGACCCCCTTTTGAAGGCTGCTGTAGCCCGGATGACTCAGGCTCGCATTTGATTGGCTATCTGTGAGTTTCTTTAATTATAGACTAATCAGAATGTCTGATTTATTACTTTCTTTGTACTGAATTAACCCTCTTCTGCACTGAATTAACTCTCTTCTGCACTGAATTACCTGAAAACTGCATTTACCTCATTTAACCAATCAGAACTGAGTAATTTTTCTATGTATATTATTAACGGTAGAAATGTCCAAATTGAACGGACTTGGAAAGACTCACCGAGAGCATATATTTGTTGTAGAACTGAAAACTTCGCTCGCCCTTACACCACGAACAAATTGTTTGAGAGAATTTAGATATTAATGAATGAAAGTTTCATATTAATTCAGTTGTAACCAAATGTAACGTTTTAACATTCTAGGTACTTTTTGTGAAGGATTAAAATTAATTGCAGGTGGTGTTTAGGGCCGCTTGTCAACCAATTTAATGACACTTTTGCTTATAAAAATTCATTTCGAAACCAATATTTTTCTGTCAACCAAAGTGATTTGAAAGAGAGAAAAGAGAGGATTCATAAGTTTTTCGCTTACAAATACTGTCCAGCCGGATAAACAAGAGATGTTTATGAAAAATGGAAACGAAGGTAGGGATGTACTCGGCGACTCACGAAAGCGTTACCGTTGCCCGTGGGCAGAGATAGGAAAATAAGGACCGCACAAAGAACCAATCAGATCACAGGATTCGTTACCGAGCCCTCTAAGAAAAAGAAAAAAAAAGTTATTAACAGTGTTATAGCATGCCGCGGAGACTATAAAAATGATTCAACCGATGCCATCTTGCTTGTCTATAACCGACGGGTTATCGAACAACTTGCACTTGAGATAATATGTAGGACTGATTTATTGTCTCAGTTTTGCTTCCGGTCACCGAATTCAGCTGAAACCAACTCGTGCACACTTTAAAGGTGGAAAAGTTTGCACAAATTACATCTTAAACTGCTCAAATAACAAAAAGTCTTATTCGGTTGGTGACAGTAATGAGAAGGCAACAATCGAACGTGAAAGATCTTTCGATAAAAAAAAAATTAACCCGTGAGTTGCAAGTTGAACAGAACGACCGGATGTATCACAAAACTCTTGAAAGTTGTTCTGTTCGTTGAAATTATTATATGAAAGATTATCGTCTACGATTTTAATTTTGTTCGGACGTTTTGTGCTAAAATGTCTCCTGCAGAGGAATTATTCGGTAACTCAGTGAGGGGTCTGAATAAAGAAGAAATATTTGGGAATAACTTCTTTACAAAGATAAGACATCACAGGTATAGAAATTGTTAGACATTGTGCTTTAAGTCTTTCGATCTCGAAACTTCACATCCGTCATAACAAATTGCTCTCTCTAAAGCTCAAAATTGGGCGAAAAGCTTTTTTTGTTATTTCATCTCTAGACCGAAACTCAATACTTATCTACTGGTGCCATTTTTTTCTCGTTCTTCTGAATTTAGTGCGGTTTTGATGTGATATTAAAGGGGAACGAAAGCGAAGGACTTATGTTAAGCAATGATTGTTCGCTCTTAGAGTGAAAGTTTATGAAGGGATATTTTCATCTGATCAGCAACAGTGAGAGTTCCAATCAAGGATTAAAATTCACTTAAATAATTTCGGTTTTCAACCTGACAAGCTTAAAGAAAGCATGGTGACGCGAGCTAAAAACATGTTATACGAGGTGAAGCTTCCTTTAGCATTTGTAAAGTTCCAACAATGAATGACTGCTGAAATATTTGTCCAAGAATAGGTTAGGCGGAGAACTATGGTCCAAAATAAGCATCAATTTGAAGACTGGAGATGATATGACAAGAAAACGATTCCAGCAAGAACATAATGACCATCGGGTACGAAATTAATTGGGTCATGACATTAAATTACCTGAGCTTCTGCTTGACAATGCCAAAATCAAGAGAGCCAGTAATAAACCGTTTACATACGAGACTTTTAAGCACTTAGCCCTCATGAATAATTCTGATTTCCTCCTCACGTAAATCCACTCTGTTTTTTTAGAAAGCGAAAAGCTAATTCGCAATTTCCGGTGTCGTCATAACTTTCTGTTGTCTCGTAATTTGATGAAATTTTCGAAGATCTGTAGCTCGTAAACACGATCTTCTTATAGCCAAATGGGTCACACCGTCTCACGGGTGGCAAAACATTGAAAGCGATAGAAACATTCTATAATTTCGATTTAGGAAAAAAGTTTATCCGCGCATTTTAGTGCATTAAGGAAAAGAGTCAAAACAATTCTCATGTCTAAGTATTCAAACTCAAAACTTTCATATTTTTAATGAAGGGCGCCTCTGTAGTGCCACTCATTTTACCGCATTCACAGTTATTCGCAGCCAAAGCTTACGTTCCACAAGAACTGAACTTCTACCCAAAATAGGGGGTAAGTTTCTAGAGAACACTACTGAGACTAGTAGTTGTAACCAATTGAGCTAACAAGCCAACTGGGAGCTGGTCTTAGCTGCGAGGATCTTCTAATTTCATCTCTCCACCGCAGTGCAAATATGTGAATTTTCATATATCTAAATTCTTCATTCACTTGGATGTTTATTTGTACCCAATTCATTGACCAGCTCCCAGTTGGCTTGTTAGCTCAATTGGTAGAGCGCTGCACCGGTATCGCAGAGGTCATGGGTTCAAATCCCATACGGGCCTGAATTTTTTTCAGGTCCTGTTTACAACTATTAGTCTCAGTAGTGTTCTTAGCTGCGAGGATCTTCTAATTTCATCAAGATAATTTCGCTTTATCAACTGACTTCATGATGGAAATTGGTCACCGTAAAGAGTTTCAAAACTGATGTTTCGAACGTCAGAACGAAACTCTTTACGGTGGCCATTTACATTATTAACTCAATTTTTAAAACTAAATTATTTTGTTTTCGTGAAAACTAAGAAGAAAAAAATTCAGTCCACGTCGACAATACCTTTAGACAGTAGATTCTAGAACAATTTCAGGAAATTAGGAAAAACTAATTAATGACAGCAAAAGAAAGCACGGAAATTATTTATTGAGAAAAAGGTAGATGTCTTTGATTTTGTTAATTCTTTGCAGCCAACATATATCTTCAATAGATTGATCCTTACATATTAGACGTCAACTTCAAAGAATCACCATTATCCAAATTATTTTTAAATTCCTTAACTAGTGCCCGGAGGGAATTTAACCAAAACATTTACCTGGATTGAACAAAGCAGAAATAGAAATTTTCTTCAAACTGTATGTGTTTTTCAAATACTCTGTCCGCCATTTTGTAACCGTCACTCTTGAATAGCGGTGAGAGAATGGTAACCACAACAATGTAATTACGTCCCAGGTCTCCAGACGTCTCGTTCCCAGTGGCGGAAAATTTTGAATAGCATGGAGGAAGACAAAGCAGTGACACGAATCCAAATTTTCGTAAAACTATCATTTGCTCTGCAAAAGTTTTGGAAGAGAACAATTGGCAATAGTTTGATTCCCTCTTTCAAGTTGTGGTTGATCAGAGACAGTGTAGCGCGTGCGAAGTGGATTCGGTAATTTCGTAATGCCCACACTACACTTTGCCACTCAACGCATTTTATCCTTTTTATTGGCCGGCACTAGCCACGTAAGCTGGGTAACACTAATAATCGAATGAAGGGGTAAGTTTCTAAAGAAACTGTGGTGCTGCGTCGGTGGGAGAGTATAGCAGGTAATTTAGTGTTAACAACTGGGTTGAAAACGTAAATTAGCCACCGTAAAGAGTAAAAAAGCTGACGTTTCGAGCGTTAGCCCTTCGTCAGAGCGATTAGAGGAATTGTGGGTTGTGTATGGATTTATATGTAGAAAGTGGAGCTACGCCATTGGTGGGAATATGGTGACGAAAAAACAGGAATAAATTAGTTGAATGAAAAGCGCTCGTTGATTCCGTGGGGATTAAGGGTGCCGATTTGAAATATAAATTTTTGTTCTAGTGTTTTACGGCTTTCCGAACTGCCTAGATGTAAGGAAAGGCCGCAAACTGCCATATGCTGTTTAGAATGATAAGGAAGATTAAAGTGTCTAGCGACTGGCTTGGATGCGTCCTTGTCATTTATTTCCACATCGCGAAGGTGTGGTCTTAAAAATTTTAAATTACTCCAAAACGATTCAGAGACTGGCACTATCTTTTCGCAACTCCCACTTATTTCATTCAAACGTGACAAAAACATAGGCAACTTTTTAGTCAGGAGTTCATTTCAAACCAATGACCAATCTGGAACTTTTAAATGCGCTCGCACACGATGCAAAACTTGTCCTTTCATTCACAACGTAGAGAAAATATCGGGACCCAAAAGATCCATTAAGATCATTGATCACTTTACGTGTACCTCCGCCAATGTTATTTACTGCATAACTTGCACTTATTGCAATAAGTTATACATCGGCGAGACAGGAAGACGACTGGGTGACCGATTCCGAGAACACCTTCGCGATGTGGAAATAAATGACAAGGACGCATCCAAACCAGTCGCTAGACACTTTAATCTTCCTTATCATTCTAAACAGCATATGGCAGTTTGCGGCCTTTCCTTACATCTAGGCAGTTCGGAAAGCCGTAAAACACTAGAACAAAACTTTATATTTCAAATCGGCACCCTTAATCCCCACGGAATCAACGAGCGCTTTTCATTCAACTAATTTATTCCTGTTTTTTCGTCACCATATTCCCACCAATGGCGTAGCTCCACTTTCTACATATAAATCCATACACAACCCACAATTCCTCTAATCGCTCTGACGAAGGGCTAACGCTCGAAACGTCAGCTTTTTTACTCTTTACGGTGGCTAATTTACGTTTTCAACCCAGTTGTTAACACTAAATTACCTGCTAACACTAATAATCTCCTTGTGCATAATGCCTCTAACTATGTTTTGGTGCAGATTCTATTCATGTGTTGTTGTGTACGTGCTCCTCCGTGGGAAATGGCAAATCGTTGTCTCAAGCAATCAGAGAAAATATAACAGGGAAAAACTCCTAGTTAATTCAATCATTCACCTCACAGTAATATTTCCCTCTAGAGCTCTTTGCACGACCGAAAGAAAATTTTCCGGCACAGGACTGAATTAAAAGATTCATTGACATGAGCTCGTCGAGGTCGCCAAATACGAATAAGTCCTCGCAAAAATATTCAAGAGACAAACCTATTCTTAGAGCCTTTTCCCTAAGTTTTAAAAAAATGTGAATTATTGGCTTAAGTACTTCGCCATTTTTAATCTAAGATTTAGGTGGGTCCACATAAAAGGATATGCTCAAACCTTGTCGATCACTAAAAACACGAAATGAATGCATTGTTACCGACAATTCGAAATTACCTGTGACGGATCTTTTACGGATGTTACTAAATCGTAAAATGCGAAATAGTTAAGGGGGAATGGTATATGGAAAATAGGAAATATCCAATTTTGTTTTTTCCATTTCCCATTCTACATATTAGTAACATCCCATCTTTTACCAATCGAAAGACAAAGAAGTCCGTTAAATGCTTTATTAGTGAACGTTATATTATTCAAAACTTGTTGTTTTATACGCTTATACACATCGTATTAACAGCTTTTCTTCTTTATTCATTCCCAACCGGTCGAGTCAGTCTAAAAAAGAGTGTTTTTTTTTTGAAATGCCAGTCAAGCTTTTTCAACGTAATCCTGTCGTAAACGCCAAGTGATTCAGACGCACAAGCATGTGTTACCGTGCAAAATCAGGTTTTACCTCTATCATAAGTCTCTTTCAACTGTAATTCAACCTCATTTTATGTGTCATTAGAAGGAAGAAAAAGCCGAACTTCAAGATTAATAGAAAATACTGTAAGATTAATGTATAACACATACTGATATCCCAAAATCTGATGGAGATCTCACAAGAAGCTGATCAGAGGTCCCAATAATTGTTTTTTCCTCGCGGATCCTAAAAAAAAACTAGTGCCGTTTAGACCAATTGATTGACTAGTTAATTTTAGCCTCAAATGAGTTCGGAAGCTGCTGTGATAACAAAATCAACCGAAAGAAATTAAGGTAAAAACAAAGTAGTATTTGAGATTCTAGACAAGATACATACTGGCATGTACATATATGAAGCTTAATTTGGCCCTTCGATGTAAGACATATGAAACACTTTAAAGTTCTACGCCCCAGACAGAGTAAATGTTGTTGAATAATCCCTCAGGAGATTATTCAACAATATTCACCGAGTATATTAGCATTCTATGTTTAATGAAAGTTCTGTTCAGCAGTAGCCAAGAGAGGTCTTTGCTCTTGGTCCTCGTACCGTGGATAGAAAGATATCTTCCTGCAACACTTCAAACATTTCTCAATCAGAAGAAGAGTAAATCTCACAAACTGAGAGAAAATGGCGAATATGATCAATATGGACATTAACGCTGGGACAAATGCCAAGGCACACACCTCAAACCACCCAACAGCTTTCAGATACGCCCCACTCGGCCCGTCAGTCGTGATACCAAATGATAATGTAGTTGCTTTGGTCAGATTGATGATAGCAATGAGAGATAATGTTACAAGAGATAATGTTTCAGCATTATTCGCCATGGGATGTCGATATGGATTCTTCAAAACATGATGGAGGGTTATCAGCAAGCATGCAGCAGACAGGAAGATCATGCGTAACATGACATCTGTGACGAACGCCCCACAAGCGAGGAGAATCAATCTTCGACCAATCAAAACACTCTCCCAGTAAAGGGTTCCGTTGTCAATATCGTTTGGCGGACGAAAAGGACCATGGAGTATGAGCGTAACATCTGTGTTGATGATCTGCTGGCCAGAAGACTCTTGCTCTCTCCTTTTCAGCTTCCGCTTGACAATCCAGTATATAAGGAATGGTAGTGGAATCATGCTAGCGGCGACAAACTCTCCAGCTTTGATGGAAGATCTGTACAGCTTGAAAGATCCCCAATAAAGAACGATGATGAAAGGAACAAGGAAGATGACAATATACGCAAGAAGAAGATATTGCCACCATTGCATGCATGGAACATTAGCATCGATGAATAACCACTTTTCAGATCCGATGGGGACACAGTGCGTTAGCTTAAGGGCTGTTTCTGCAAGCCTTTCGTATCCAAGCAACAACACTTCCATGACAACAGCCATATAGCGGATAAGGGACGGCTTTCCTTTTCCCATACACATATTGACGACATGATGCACAACATAGATGAGAAGAAGGTTAGTCATTGTCAAAAACACTGTACCAGAAAGAAAGAGCTCCTTGGTTACAGCGGTGAGTCCTGCAAATGGACAGCCAAGTCCTTGATTGATGGATTGAACCTGAAAGTTGTAGGCAGAGATGACGAAGTGGATAAAAGGAATCTTTCCAACAAGTTCTTCTACAGAACCTACTATCAAAGTCTCAGCCGCTTGATAGAAATAAAACGTAATTTTCAAGAAGCCATTCTCGGAATGTTCACCACCACAATTGAAGTCAGAACCATCTCCCGGCTGATCTTCATCTGATTTCTTGAACCATAGAATTTGTTTTTCTAGGGTGTGCAGGATTGGGGGCTTGGTCAAAAGATAGAAAGCCAGAATGATTGTTAAAAATATGGTCACAAACCACACAGAATAGTCGTTGCATTCGGTAGACTTGCGGCATTTAGTTGATAAAAGAGTCTCAGTGAACCCATTAGCACACCGTCCACAGAGAGTACCGTTTCTGTTTCCTCGGCAGCTGCTGTAGTCTATTGATGAAGTCAATGAACAATAATTTTCAGGACAAGCAATTAATTTCAGCATTGATGGATTGCCAGGTGCTACATAACCCCAGAAGTTTGGTTTCGCGGCAATGTTACTTTCAATGCAAGTGGCTCCAAATGGGCATGGATGGCACTCATCCCTGGAGACTACAACCAAGCCTTTGGAAACCCCTTTTTGTAGGCTATAGTAGCCCGGATGGCAGGGTTTGCACGAATATTTCAAAACGGTAACATTCAATACACAAATCCCCATGTTTTTCTCCGCGTATTGGAAATGGGTGCCATTTTCTAATATAAGAGCCTCTCCTTCATTACATTTCATAGTGGACTTTTCATCCATGTGAACAAATCCCCCACCAGAAATGTCGACAATCGGATAAGAGCTCCTGTTGTATTTTAGTGAGGTCATTGATGTGTTTTTAAATACCAAGCGACCTCCACTTTCAGAGTAAAGGAAGACACTTTTATCAAATTGAGTGCCGTCTGAAATTGTCGCACTTTTCATTGCCGTCAAAAAAGAACAATGTTCGAATTCTACGTGGCCAGTTCCATATGCAGAGTGAACGTGTCCACTTCTAAGAATGCCAAAATTGTTGACAAACTCACATCTTCGGAATTTCGTGAAGCCATTGCTGATATGTACAGCCCCAACTTCAATTCCTAAGTTCTCTTGAAACTTTGTATTTTCAAAGAGCACATGGTTATTATAGTTCCATGAAGGATGTGTTTCATTAGCGCTTTTGGATTTCACACATCCCGAACTGAGCAGTTTGTCTGGACTGAATAGGATGGAGATGGCGCCGGCGGTTGGTTCGTAAAATAAATCAGTTTCACTATGATCCCATTCGGGTTTAAAGGCACTGGCACGACAATTACGAAAGGAAGAGTGTTTAACTGTCACGTTTTTGAGGCCTTCAAATAACAGAGTAAAATAGCTGGCCGATCTGTGGTAGAACTCGTTATTGTCAAGTTGGATGACTGCCTTTGAAGAATTAATACGTCGAAGAGGTGGAATGAAGAGGCAAATAGCATAGCCGTGCTCACTTTGGTTCCGTTGTGCTATTTCGTTTCTGGTGCTAAATAGTGTGTTTTTAATGGTTACTTGGACTGATGTTGGACTACGAAGTGTAAACAGCGCATCATGTGTATTATCGATAAAGGAGCAGTTATCAATGAAAATATCTATTGGAAAAGAGCCATTTTTTGGCGTAGCTGGTGCTGTATGTAATCCATATTTAAGAGACTTGAATGTCATGTTGAATAGTTTAATGTGGTACCTGGGACTTATGGACAAAGCCATTTTTCTGTTGTTTTTGCTTTCCATGAAACTGTTCGAAATTGTAACCATCCCTGCGTTTCCGTTTCTGGAGACTATGTGGACAATATTTCCTCTTGTTGCGTCCATAGAAATGTCCCTAAAAATGCAGTTTGAAATTGTAATGTTACTTTCACCTACAGTGGTAAGCAGACTGAAAGCTCCATCGCCTCTTGATAACATTTTCTTCGTAAACGTTGATCCCTCTAAAGTCACAATTCCGCCATATAGCAGAACGTCTACAGCCATACACCTTGGTGTTCCCTTTCCATTGTTTCCTTCCCACTGTTCAACGGTTACATTCCTGAGAGTAAAATATAACCTGTGGGGACCCCGATCACTTTCTGGCTGGCCTTGAGCGGTTCTTCCAATGGATATCACGCATCCATACC